GTAATTCCAATGATGCAGGACATGAAATCCACCTTAACCCTAATACAGGAGACAATGATGAAGATGCAGGAGAAAATGTCCAGTAACCATAATGAATTGAAAACAGACATCCAGTCCTTGGACCGCAAAGTGAATGACATTCAAGATTCAATCCATAAAAATGAACAAAAAATAAAGAATGTAGAAATCAAAGTGGAACAAAATAAAAGGAAATTGGAACTGGTAGACCAAAAACTGATGGCTCAGAATAGAAAACTTGAAGACTCTATTATACAACTGGAAATGGACTGGGTGACGTTCTCTAAGATTTCAGAACGTAACTGAAGGGAAAGAGGAAGATCTGAGACAGGTAATGGCAGAAATGATTGTAGAGGCCCTAAAGAGGGACAAGCAAGAAATAATTACGGAATTGGATAAGGTATACCGGGTTCAGACAAATTATGCTAGAAGACATAAGCTCCCAAGAGAGGTCCACATTAAAATTTCAAGGAAAAAAGTCTGTGACATCCTGTATAATATAACCAGAGAAGAACCAATGATATATAAGGGGAAGGAGGTTATAACGTTAAAACAAGTCCCCAGGAGAGTAAGGGAGCTACAAAGAGACTGATTCCTTGCCATGCATTTAAGCAAAAGAAATATACTATTTGGATGGACACTGCCAGAAGGAATGTTAATCACGTGGCAAGGGAAAAAAATAAAGATAGATAATCTAGCAACAGTGCAAGACTTCCTAGACCAACTGATAGGAATGGAAGAAGAATAGAGTAGCAAGGAAGAAGTAGAGACGATAACTCAGGAAGAAGAAACTCCCGATCAACGAGACACTAAAGAAGGACCTTTGGAGAAGAAAGACACAGAAGAAAAAGAGAACAGAGACACAAAAGGAAAGAAACTAAGAACACAAAGGGCAAATAAGGGCAAATAAATACTAACAAGGGCAAATAAATACTAACTCCTTTTAGGAAGCCCAAAAATTGGATGATTGGAAACTATTATCGATTAATGTAAATGGATTGAATGAGACTAAAAAGAGGAGACAGATATTCACAAAATTAGCCAAACAAAACTCTGACATAATATGCCTTCAGGAGGTTCACATACAGAAACAAGATGAAAGATACCTAGAATACAGCAAATTAGGGAAAGCACTAGCAAGGGGGAAAAAAAAGGGGGGGTAGCAATATATATTAAGGGAGGGAGTGTTGCCAAACAAAAATATGAAGATCCCAAAGAAAGAGCATTAATGATAGAAATAAAGAGAGGAAATTTACCAATATTATTAGTAGCTATTTATGCCCCCAACAAATTTCAGGGAGAATATTACAAAAAATTACACGAATGGATAATTAAAATGGAATACAGGAATATTTGTATAGTGGAGGACTTTAACGGGATAATAGATACAGAAAAAGATTATAAATGTGGCAAAGACAATTAAAAAAAGGGACAAATTACCTAAAACCTTCTTCAACATGATAGAAGAATTAAATTTGATAGATATTTGGTGGACCCTACAGCCAAATGAGAGAAAGTACACTTTTTACTCCAACCCCCAAATATCATGGTCCAGAATAGACATGTTATGGGCAAATAAAGAACTAGGATTGGAATTGGAAACAGTAGAAATTAATCCCAATATATGGACAGATCATAATCCCTTGGAAGCAAAATGGAGGGCCCCAAAAAGAAAGAAGATTAGGAGATGGAGACTAAATTTACAAGTATCGTAAAGGAAGAAGAAGGAATATATTGAAAAGATAATGGGAGAACTGAGATTATTTTTCAAAGAAAATAAAAAGCAACAAACCTCCCTAACTAACCTATGGGATACGATGAAAGCTTACCTAAGAGGGGTAACAATAACTTATAATGCACATAAAAACAAAGAAAACAGAAGATACACTCTCCAAGAACACTCTCCAAGAAGAAATTGGAAACATGGAAAAGAAACTCCATCTAAGCCCAGGAGACAAAATGGTCAAAGAGAAATTGACAGTACTGAGGCATAAAATGAATATATTAGACCAGGAGGAAATGGCAAATAAACTCAGACAATCCAAACAATATTATTTCGAGAACGCAAATAAGACGGGCAGATGGTTGGCCTATAAATTAAAGAAAGAATATGAAAGGCAGATCATCCAATAACTGGAAGACAAGAAAGGAAACTTACAAAATAAAGAAGAGGATAAAATCAAAATTGCTCAAGAATATTACACAGAGCTTTATAATAAGGAGGATGTATTAATAGAAAAGATTGAAGAATATTTACAGGAGGAAGAGTCCCCACCAGAGAGGAGGAGAGAAAAAGGCTAAACAAAGAAATTACAATCGAAGAACTAAGAGTGGCAATTTCAAAACTTAAAAATAACAAAACACCACGCCCGGATGGTCTCCCAGGAGAAATCTACAAAAAATTTGATGAAATAATAACACCAAAACTATTGGAGATATGCAATGAGGCTTTATTGGAAGCAAAAATACCAGAATCATGGAGGGAAGCATATATCACCCTACTTCCGAAAGAAGGTACAGACCAAAAACAAATTAAAAATCACAGACCAATCTCCCTTTTAAACACAGACTATAAAATTTTCATGAACATAATTGCGGAAAGTCTGAAAAGAATATTAAATTCTATTATACACCCGGATCAGAATGTCTTCTTACCAGATAGACAAATAAGGAATAACATAAGAATAGTTGTAGATGCCCTCGAATATTATGAAGCCCACCCGGAGAAGCAAATGGCTCTTGTATTTTTAGATGCCCAAAAAGCTTTTGATAATCTTAATCTTGATTGAACAAATTAAAATTATGAAATTCGGAACCAATTTTGAGAAAATGATAGAAACAATTTATAAATTACAAAGGGCAAGAATAATAATAAACGGGGATATGACAAATTTATTTCAAATTAAGAATGTAAGACAAGGGTGCCCATTATCACCTTTGCTATTCATCTTGACACTAGAAACCCTATTAAATAGAATTAGGAAAAACAGCGGAATAAAAGGATTAAAGATTAGGAGAGAGGAGTATAAGACTCAGGCCTTTGCGGATGACATAGTATTCATCTTAGAGAAACTGTTAGAAACGGGTCTGAGAATTTTGGAGGAAATAGGAAGGTATGGGGAGGTAGCCAGACTTAAATTGAATAAAGGGGAAACTAAATTGTTGGTCAAAAACTTAACAGAAACGCAAAAGAAAGAATTAGAAAAGCAATTAGACCTATAAATAGTAAATATATATATATATATATATTTAGGAATATGAATATCAGCTAGATGCTCAGCTCTGAAAGAAAATAACTATACACCTCTGGTTAAAAGAATAAAACTAGATATGGAAAAATGGGAGAAATTGCAACTATCACTTTTGAGCAGGACAGCTTCGATAAAGATGAATATCCTGCCCAAATTATTATATCTATTCCAAACGATACCCGTCATCTTAGACAAAAAATTTTTCACAGAAATTAACAAAATTATTAGGAAATTCATTTGGGCCAGGAAAAAACCAAGAATTAATTTGCGATCATTACAAGACAACAGAAGTAGGGGAGGTTTCAGACTCCCAGCGTGGGAAGTATATTATAAAGCAGCCATCCTAGTATGGATAAGAGAATGGGTTAATTTAAGAAACAAAAGAATCCTAAATTTGGAAGGGAATGACCTACAAAAAGGGTAGCACGCCTTCTTGTGGGACAAAAAGAAAAAGACCAAAACGTATTTCCATAGACACAGGATAAGAAAAGTATTAATACAAGTATGGGAGGAAATTAGAAGAAAATAATACATGAAAATCCCGAACTGGCTATCGACAATGGAAGCCATGATATACTCAAATATATTAGAGATTAAAAAAATGATTAGTTATAAAGAGCTTCTAGATAGCCAAGGAAACCTCATAAGTAATCAATTCCTAGGCGAGCAGGGAATACACATAGACTGGTGGCCATACTTGCAAATTCAATCTAGGTACAAAAAAGATAAGGAAGAATTTGGCATTGAGGTGGAAACAAACAGATTAGACAAATTACTGATAGGCCCAGAAAAAAAAGTACTATCTAGATTATATAACTATTTATTACCATTTGATAGGGCGGAAGAGGTAGTAAAAGAGCCAATGATAGCGTGGGCCAAAAATATTGGACATAATATAAATTTGGATGAATGGGAGATGATTTCAAATAGAAACTACAAATTAACAAAAGTGGCAACATACAAAGAAAACCAATATAAAATGCTATACAGATGGCACCTAGCACCCGCGAGATTAGCAAAAATATATCCAAATCTAAGTCCCAAATTTTGGAAGTGTGGATGTCACCAAGGTACCTTCTTTCATATGTAGTGGTCCTGTCCCAAAGCAATGAGGTATTGGAGAAAAATTCAAAATTGGCTGCAAGAATCAACTAATGAAAAAAATGAATTGATATCTGAAACATTTCTCCAGGGAATACTGAAGATTAAATATCGGGAAAAAAATAGATATTTAATCATACATATACTCACTGCAGCAAGAATAGCCTATGACCAATATAGGAAAGGAAAGTATACATCACCACAGGAACATATAATTCAGAAGGTTCTAGAATGTGCTGAAATGAACAAATTAACTTTAGAATTAAATGAGAAAGAAGACTCAGAATATTATACGGTGTGGGATGATTGGTACAGGTGGATTGACAATTGAATAAAGAATAGATAAAAGTTAATATAAATTTTAAGATGCATATGTAAATTACATTACACTACAATGAAATGTAAAAGAAGAATCAATCTAACCTGTGTAGAAAAGTAACACTGTCTGACTGATTATATTGTATTGTATTATAATAAATTTCAATAAAAAATTAAAAAGAAAAAAGAAAAGAGTTGGACACAACAGAAATAGAAAGAAGAAATTTCAAAAGTTAAAAAACCAGATAACTGCCTATCTTTAGTCTCATAGAGGCAAGTACAGCATTTTATAAAACTCAGAGAAAAATAGTTTTACTTTTGTTTCTTGGTTAATTGCTCCTTTTTGTTTAATTCGGGCCTCAGAACAATAATGTAGCATTTGGGGGTAAAGATGCAGCCCAGTAATCCTGCTGCAGAAGCCAAAATGGAGAAGATCTCCACAGCCACCATGTATTTCCCCTTGGTGCTCAGATAGGTTGGAACAAATGACATCCAGACACTACAAAAGACCAACATACTGAAAGTGATAAATTTGGCTTCATTAAAACTGTCAGGTAGTTTCCTAGCAAGGAAAGCCACCATGAAACTGATAGCAGTCAAGAACCCCAGAAAACCAAGGGCGGTATAAAACATGATGGCGGAACCTTCATTACATTCTAGGACAATTTCTTCAGTCATTGAGTGGATGTCAGAATCTGGAAATGGAGGAGAAATTGCCAGCCACACACTACAAATTGTGAGTTGAATCAGGGAGCAAGACAAGACAATAGTATAAGCCAGCCTTTTCCCAACCCATTTCCTGGTTTTGGAACCTGGCTTGGTGGCCATGAAAGCAAGAACCACTATGGTTGTTTTCCCCAGGATGCAAGAAAGGGCTACAGAGAAGATGATGCCAAAAGCAGTTTGTCTCATGAGGCATTTTGCTTGGTCAGGTTGCCCAATGAAGAGCAAACTGCAAAGGAAAGAGAACAGGAGGGCAATGAGAAGAATGTAGGTGAGGTTCCTGTTGTTGGCTTTGACAATGGGAGTCTCCTGGTTTTTAATGAAGATCCCCAGCACCACAACTGAGATGAAAGAAAAGAAGAAAGCAATACTGGTTAAAGTGGTCCCCAAGGTTTCTTTGTAAGATAAGAACGTTGTATGTTTCTTAATGCACAGAGTCTGGTTCTTGTTAGGGTAGTTTTCTTTGGGACATGGGAAGCAGTCATCTAAACCTGGAAGAGGAAACAATGCTGTCAGGTTAATTCTGTCATCTGCAACTTTCAGAAGCAATGTATTTTAGTGCCTGAATTTCACCAATGAGCAGAGGTGGTATTCAGCAGGTTCTGACCAGTTCTGGAGAACTGGTAGCGGAAATTTTGAGTAGTTCAGAGAACTGGCCAATACCACCTCTGACTGGCATCGCCCCCATCTATTTGCTGCCTCCTGAGTCACAGATGATCTGCTGGGTCTTCTTTTGTTGTCCTGCATGGGAGAACAGAGCTGGAAAGCAAGTTAGTGGGGTGGAGAGAGAATAGGGATTTTGGAGTAATCTTCTCCCAGGAGTAGGATAGGAATGGAGATCTCTTACCTGTCTGGTTGGCAATTTTCCCTTCTGGGCAACGGAGGCATTGGTAACAGCAAAATTGCTTCCCTTCTATTTTGATCTTGCTGTGCCCCAAGGAGCAATGAGCATTGCACAAAGAAAGAGGTTGTGTCTGCCAATAAGTGAAAGGGCAACATATTTAGAATTTAAACATTAAGAATCTAAGAAATTAACATGTTAGTGGGTATTTGCAGTGGTGGGATTCAGCCAGTTTGCACCACTTCGGGCGAACCGGTTGTTAACTTTCTGAGCAGTTTTTGATTAGAGGTATCAAACATTCTGTGCTAGAGTACAAGACCTGGCTTATTCCTTAAAATATCCTTCTGATACCATAAACCATGTTAATGGAAAAAATCTCCTATTCATCTGCTAGACATCAAAAATTAGGACCACTTAATTCAGAAGTTCAGAAGTGTGCGGCGGCAGCCGAACAAGCCATGCAATCCTAAATTGCATTAACAAAGGGATACAATCAAGATCAGGGGTGTTAAAATTGATTTCATTGAGGGCCACATCAGGGTTGTGTTTGACCTTGGGGGCAGGAGTGGGTGAAGCTAAAGTGGGTGTGTCCAGCTCGGCGTCACTCATGTCAGGGATGCATGTGGTGGCCTGAATGCTCTGCCAAAGAAAATGGGCTCCTGAGTTCCATTTTCGGCTGCAACTGCCTCCTGCAACCCTCTGACAGTGAAAACTCCACTTTTTCTGGTAGAGGCACCACGGGCCAGTCCTTTGCTGTTTCCAGGGCAGGCCTGCAGGCCAGATCTATCCACCCCCATGGGCCAGATCCAGCCCCCGGGCCTTAAATTTGACATCCCTGATCAAGATCAAATGAGGTACTAATACCACTCTATAAAGCCTTAGTAAGATCACATCTAGAATACTGCATCCAGTTTTTGTCACCACACTATAAAAAAGATGTTGAGACTCTAGAAAGAGTGCAGAGAAGAGCAACCAAGATGATTAGAGGGCTGGAGGCTAAAATATATGATGAACAGTTGCAGGAACTGGGCATGGCTAATCTAGTGAAGAGAAGGACCAGGAGAAACATGATAGCAGTGTTCCCATATTTGAGTGACTGCCACAGAGAGGAAGGGATCAACCTATTTTCCAAGGCACCCAAAGGCCAGACAAGGAATAATGGATGGAAAATGATCAAGGAGAAATTCAACCTGGAAATAAGGAGAATTTTTCTGACAGTGAGAACAATTAACCAATGGAACAGCTTGCCTTCTGAAGTTGTGGTGCTTCATTGCTGGAAGCTTTCAAGAAGAGATTGGACTGCCATTTGTCAGAAATGGTGTAGGGTCTCCTGCTTGGATGGGATGGGTTGGACAAGACGATCTACAAGGTCCCTTCCAACTCTGTTAATCTGTTAAAGTACATTGAGGTAAGTTTCCTTGTCCAAAACCCTCTTCAAAATCCTGTGCATCAAGAATATTGCTTTTCGTGTACTTGGTTCATTAATTTGTGCAACTGTTCAAAGATGTTAACTGCAGCATGATCACTGAACCATCCCTTAAAAATGACTAAAAGGTACCTGGTTAAAAATGTTAGGCCAGACAATATTATCTGTCGATAGAGAGAGAAGGTTTTCAAATAAAGCTGATGGATTTACTTTTCCAACTTTAATCCTAAGAAAGGATTGATTTGGGAAGGTGATCCAGTTGATGATATCAAAGCCAGATGCAATCTTCCCATTCTGGTCAAAGAAAATGTTTTCCCCAGCACTGTTGTTAAATGAGACTTTTCTCAGGTAATGATGAAGCTCAAGAGAAGAACATGAGAGTAATTAATAAAGGTGTACAATAATGGCAAATTATTTCAGAAGATATTGTTGCAGTTCCAATATACAGTATCATGATAATAACCTTAATTTGTCACTTCTATCAGCAAGCAGTAGAAGACTCTCCATGAGGGACAAAAAACAACTAATGATAGGCTAATCTATGAACCACAGTGGTAAGAGTGCAGTATTGCAGGCTATTTCTGCTGACTGCTGGCTGCCTACAATTTAGCAGTTTGAATCTCATCAGGCTCAAGGTTGACTCAGCCTTCCATCCTTCCGAGGTGGGTAAAATGGGGACCCAAATTGTTGGGGGCAATAGGCTGACTCTATAAACTGCTTAGAGAGGGCTGTAAAGCACTGTAAAGTGATATATAAGTCTTAAGCGCTATTGCTAGCAGCCCTGTTTTCATGCCTATCACCCAGAAGTACTGCTACCACCATCATCAGTATGTTCTCTTCCTTCCTGTCATTTGGCAATCATGCCAGGCAAATAACAGATCCAAAGAGTGAGACCTGTATGTGTGAGTTGGGCCATGAATACTTTGAATTAGGTATATTGCTGCCATGGTAGCTATGAACTCGCATGTTCACTGAAACCTCAGGGTAGAGAGAACAGGAATAAATTTCCCAGCCTGGGGATCTCCACCCACCTGCAGCTCAGACAGAGTCCAACAGTAAAGTCAGGGATGCAACTACACTACAGGGAGGAAGGCAAGTGAGCAGCAATAGAAAGAGTCTTTATTGTCAGCAATTTGCACGTGGAGTTTCAGGGTTTATTTCACTGGTGACTATCAGCGGTGGGTTTCACAAATTCTTACCATCAGTTTGCATGCAAGCTTGCTTTGCTCTCTCTCGTGAGCCTTCCATGCATACACCCGGCGTTCCGTGCATGTGCTTTGCTCACACGCAAGCCTTCCGCACATGCACCCAGCCTTGAAAACATGGCTAAATAGGACAGCATAACGTATGGGCAGGTGGGCAGCCCACCCGCAGTTGCCGCTACCGGTTTGGGTGAACTGGTCTGAACCGACTGAATACCACCTCTGGTGACTATGATGTAGACTATCATTCTTGTATTTTATTTCATTAGGAGATATAGCCTATCTCAATTGTACTTTATTTGGAAAGATGTCAATACTAGAATCCAATGGACCATAGGAATGTTTTTAAAGTTTTCCTATGAAAATATAGTACATCCAACCTGGAGCATCAATTGCTCTCTCATCAACCTAGGAGACACTGAACTCTCCTTTCTTGTTAGGAAGAACTCTCCCAATACAGTGAATCTGAAGAAGGAGTGAGGGAGAGAGGAAAGAAACTTTCACTATGATGCTGTACATAATGGCCCAATTATTCCAATATTCAACATTAAATATTGATAGAAAGTAACCTTTTTGCAATTAAAAAAGCTGGAATAGAAATGTGCAGACATTCCCATTCACCTAAGTAATTTCTCCAGCATTATGTTTAAATTGGTTTCTATATAACTTGTGGACAATTGTAGCAGGGGTGGGTTCTAATTTTTTTTACTACCGGTTCTGTAGGTGTGGCTTATTTTGTGGGTGTGGTTTGATGGTCATGTGACAATTCTTTAGGATTTAGCCTGGTCTACCAGGCTTTTAACTGCTTGCAGAGCTGTACTGGTCTACCCATTTGTTTTTGGAGCATTCCGGTCTACCCATTTGTTTTTGGAGGCACCAGTCTACCCATTTGTTTTCCGAGCGCACTGGTCTACCACCACACTGCCTTTTAACACTGATCAGCTGTAGGGCAGCCCTTTGAAGTCCCGTGGCAAGAGTTTAAACAGTTTTTTTTCCTTCTAGCCGATCAGCTGGGACTCGGGAGGCAGCGAATAGATTGGGGGCAGGGCCAAATAAAAAGTAAGAATAATGTGGGGGGGGGGGGAAGGACCCAGCTCCCAAACAAAGAGAACCGGTTTGGTGATGTCATATCGTCACCGCTACCAGCTCGGCCGAACCGGGAGGAACCCACCACTGAATTGTAGATACAGAAGCAATACCCATTGGAAGGTAGAGCCGAGGACTTTGTACAGTATCTGCATGACAAAATCACTCAGATTCGGGAAGATCTGGACTCCGACTGGGTAGTTTCAGGGGGGATGACTGAGGCAGGTCTTGAGAACGTTATCTGGGATGAGTTTGATCCTGTGACTCCTGATAACGTGGACAGGATTCTGGGTAGACTGAACATGACCACATGTTTGTTGGATCCGTGTCCCTCCTGGTTAGTGGTGGCTTCTTGGGAGGTGACGCAAGGCTGGCTCCAGGGGATTATAAATGCTTCATTGAGTGAGGGTGACTTCCCCGCCGCCTTGAAAGAGGCGGTGGTGAGGCCTCTCCTTAAGAAGCCTTCCCTGGACCTGGCAGTGTTGTCTAATTATTGTCCGGTCTCCAACCTTCGCTTTGTGGTGAAGGTTGTTGAGAGTGTGGTTGCGCGACAGCTCCCCCAGCACCTGGATGAAACGGTGTATCTGGATCCATTCCAGTTGGGCTTCAGGCCTGGGTACAGCACGGAAACGTCATTGGTTGCATTGGTTGATGATCTCTGGAGGGCTCGGGACAGAGGTTGCTCCTCTGTCCTGGTCCTATTAGATCTCTCAGCGGCTTTTGATACCATCGACCATGGTATCATGCTGCACCGGTTGGAAGAGTTAGGGGTGGGGGGCACTGTATTGCAGTGGTTCTCCTCCTTTCTCTCCGACGGGTCACAGTCTGTGTTGGCAGGGGGGCAGAGGTCGACCCTGAGGCGCCTCATATGTGGGGTGCCACAAGGGTCGGTCCTCTTGCCCCTTCTGTTCAACATTTATGTAAAGCCGCTGGGCGAGATCATCCGTGTTTCGGGGTGAAGTACCATCAGTACGCTGACGATACTCAGCTGTACATCTCCACCCCGGACCACCCCAACAATGCCCTTGAAATGATGTCCCAGTGCCTGGAGGCCCTGCGGATCTGGATGGAGAGAAACAGGCTCAGGCTCAACCCATCCAAGACTGAGTGGCTGTGGTTTCCGATGTCCCAATATAGTCAGTTGGTGCCATCACAGACTATTGGGGGCGAATCACTGGCCCCCACGGAGAGGGCTCGCAACTTGGGCGTCCTCCTGGATTCATGGCTGTCTTTAGAAGAGCACTTGATGGCCGTGACCGGGAGGATTTTTCATTAGGTTTGCCTGATTCAACAGTTGTGTCCCTTTCTGGATCGGGATTCCTTACGCATGGTCACTCATGCCCTCGTCACTTCCTGCCTGGACTACTGCAATGTTGTCTACATGGGGCTCCCCTTGAGGAGCACGCGGAGGCTCCAACTGGCACAGAGTGTGCCCGGGCGGATGGTTATGGGAGCGACATGGCGTTCCCATGTAACACCTCTCCTGCGCTAGCTGCCCTGGCTCCCGGTGGTCTTCTGTGTGCACTTCAAGGTTTTGGTTACCACCTTTAGAGCACTCCATGGCTTAAGACCACCTGCTGCCACCAGTAGCCTCCCACTGGCCGGTACGCTCTCATAGAGAGGGGCTCCTCCGGGTGCTGTCGGACAAACAATGTCAACTGGCAGCCCCCAGAGGAGAGCTTCTCTGTGGGGGCACCTACTATCTGGAATGAGCTCCCCTGGAGATATGGAAGATCCTGGATCTACGCACCTTCCGCCACGCTCTCAAGACCTTTTTATTCCATCAGGCTGGCCTGGTCTAATTTTTCCCCCTTTTTCCCTTTTTAAAATGCAAATTTTAATCTGTTCTTAATTATTGGGATGTTTTAAATCTGTCTTTGGCCAAATTATTTAATTCGGTTTTATTCTGCTTTTACATTTTGTATTTATGCGTTTTATCTTGTGGCTGTTCACCGCCCTGAGTCCTTCGGGAGTAGGGCGGTATATAAATCAAATAAAACTAAAACTAAATCTAAAAATAAGTCCTGCTACTTTAATAAAAATAGAAGATTACCTGCCACACTTGGTGATTGAGAAGCTTCTGTTTCCCACTACCGACCATTACTCTTTGTTTGTAGTGGGATGTAAGCATGGCTTGGAGAGCATGTGCCACGGCATAGACTGCATTGTAGATACTGTAGCTTTGCCCAGTCATGCTCAATTCAAAAACAGAGTCTGGAAGAGCCTCCAGCTTCTCTTCCCCAGTGCAGCTTTTCTCTGCCTCTGGGTTTAAAGTGGAATTTGAGAAAGAACATTCAAAGGCTTGTTCCCAAAAGACCCTTGAAAAACTGTCTATGTTTTCTGGAACACTGTTTCTCATCTGAAGAAATCTATTGAATCCTAATAATTCTTTTGATGACATGGCGAAAGAAAGACCGCCATGGATAAAATCCATACTCCAGTCTCTTTGAAATGGAACTGAAGTGTATTCCATCTGGGCTGGGAAAATCCAAACTTTGTCTTTTCTCTCCACTGTTGTGTCCAAATATTCTGAAACATAGGAGATTGTCCTGAAACCTGCCATGGCCTGGTTTTCAGAGTAGACAATCGCAACACTGGAGGTACTTTTCATAATGACTTTGCATAGTTTAATGAAAGTATTGATTTGTTCTCCTATCCCATCTGAAAAAGCTACGGTTGGAAGCACTGCAATGTAATCAAAGCAGATGCCATTTTGAGATAAGACGAGAAGCACTTCCCTCAGAAATCGTTCACCGATCTCATTTTCTTGAAAAATTATCCCAATCCAGGTCCACTTAAAATGAAGCAGCAACTGGAGAATCCCCATAACATGAAGATGTTCATTTGGGTACATTTGATAGAAGAAAGCTGTATGAATCATGTTATCCATCGCTGGAGCAGAACCGTACGTGAGCTTAGGAAAAAAGAAAATGCAAAATGTATGTATATATGTTTGATATAAGTCAGTGATGGCTATCCTTTTCCAGACTGACTGCCCAAAGTGCCCAAGCCATCAAAATGCAATGCCTGCACCACCATCACCCACACATAATCCGCCCCCCTGAGCATGCACACATGCCCCTCCGCATATGCCCCGGTTAAATTTGACTGCTTTATTTTGTTGCTTTGATTTTTCAGGGCTTATTCATAACTCATTGAAGATCTTCCTTTAATTTCTATGAAGTTAATGGAAGTAAACTGTCACCATTTTTGGAAATGTTATGATGCAACTTGACCATATTCAATCTGGCTATAATATTTAAGGTTTGGGAAATAGTAAAATATTATGTAGATAACCTCTACAGCACATCAGAGAAGTCTAAACTATTGATACATTAGATGTTCAGGATATTTTTACTACCACCAATGGAGTACTTGGGACCTTTGAAAAATTGATTTTTATCTATTTTGGATATAGTAACAAAAGCCTAATTGAACCATTTAGTACCTAGTTCTCTGTCAATTATCCTCCCATAGTTGAATCTAATGGGTGCAACCTTGCTGCATATTTATACAGAATAAAGTGGAGTTTTAAATTATTAGTATAAGATTCAATTTGCAGAATACTTAGTTCCAGTAGCCATTTATCGTATGATTTAGCCTCCAAGTCCATTATTATCTTTGTTGCTCTTCTTTGCACTCTTTCTAGGGCCCCAGCATCTTTTTTGTATCATGGTGACCAGAACTGGATGCAGTATTCCAAGTGTGATTTCACCATTGCAGGCAAAACCAATACTATTACTGCCTGAGATTTTGATGTTATCCTTCTGTAGAACTGCATTGGCCTTTTTTTGGCAGCTGCAGCACACTGCTGATTCATACTTAAGCAGTGATCCACCAGGACAGCTAGATCCCTCTCAAGTTACTATTGCTGAACCAGGTACTTCCTGTGCTATACCTATCCATTTGGTTTTTCCTTCCTAAGTGCAGGACCGTACTTTTCTCACCACTGAACTGCACCTTGTTGAAAAGAGCCCAATGCTCATATCTGTCAAGAGCCTTTTATCTTCCAAAGTTTTGCCAAATCCCCCCATCTTAGTGTCATCTGCAAATTTGATGAGTTGCCCTTCTATCCCCTCAAGAAGTTGAAGAGAATTGGGCCCAAGACATAACCTTGAGGTACCCTATTATACTGTATGCTTTCCTCTAGGTAGACATAACTCCATTGAGGACTATATGCTGAGTGTGGTGGGTCAGCTAATTGCGAATACATTTGGTGATGGTACTGTCTATTCCCCCTTCTTCTATCTTATCAAGAAATAAGCTGTGGTCTACTTTATCAAATACCTTATTGCAACCAAAGCATTTCCTACAGCATCTCCACTAATTTAATCACTTTATCAAAGAAGGCAATTATGTTTGTCTTGCATGGTTTGCTTTTAATGAACCCATGTTGGCTTCCAGTAATCACCTTGCTCATTTCTAGATGCTCACAAACTTGTTGCTTGATTATCTTTTCCAGGATTTTCCCAGATACTGATGTCAAGCTAACTGGTCTGTCGTTTCCTGGATCCACTTTTTTTTTTTGCCTTCTTTAGTATTGGAACTACATCAGCCTTTTTCCAGTCCTCTGGCAATTCACCCATACTCCAAGAGTTCTGAAAGATTTCATTCAGTGGTTCCAAGATCACATCTGCCAGCTCCTTCAATAATCTGGGATGAAAACCATCTTGTTCTGGATGGTCATTCAAAGCATGACCATCCAGAACAAACTCATTCAAAGCATATAGAGTCGAGGTGGCACAGTGGTTAGAGTGCAGCACTGCAGGCTACTTCAGCTAACTGCTAGCTGCAGTTTGACAGTTCAAATTTCACCAGCTCAAGGTTGACTCAGCTTTCCATCCTTCCAAAGTCGGTAAAATGAGGACCCAGATTGACCTGCATTAGCATCCTGTCTCCCAGACAGGAGCCTTCCTACTTTTCCAGAGACTAAAAAGCGAGGTGGGGAGAAATACTTTTAGTTATCCAAGGTTCTGTTTAATGTAACCATGTCTGTGCTTCTCAAATGACTAATGAGGCTGAGCCTTCCTTCCTTCCTTCCTTCCTTCCTTCCTTCCTTCCTTCCTTCCTTCCTTCCTTCGAATATCAATGCAGCTGTATTCTTGAATATAGAAATACTGGGGCATATACTATGGAATGAAAGCACTGCTTAAACTGATCACATTTTTTTCATGGAAGAAACTATTAATTGAGGTTATCTGAGGTATAATTATCTATATTAGATTATTACTTTTTATCAACAGAAGATATCATCTTCTCAGATGAACTCCTGTTCAAGATTCCATTGAAGGAAAGGGAAGACAACAAATCAGGAAAAACCCTCCTAGCTTCAATAGAACAACTACTACAATACTTGTCTGCAAATAAACAAAAAATGCTATTTTGAGTTATTTTAGGAATAAATAAATCACTTATCAGTCATATGTTCTATCTTTCTTTATTATGAATGCATCACTTTGATCTTCCAGATATACCATATAATATGCTTTCATATTCTTATTATTTGCTTGTTATTTTACTGCTATGGAACTTCAATGGAAATCTCTCTTAAGAGCAAGAGAAATAATCTTATTTCCATTTTTTAAAAAATTGGAGACCCCAAATCAGCACAATTTTCAGTAAATCAGGACTGGAAAATATGAAAACACTGTCTATTCATATGTCAGTTACATTTTGATTGACATTAGTTTATCACAAATCCAGAAAATGTCATTAAAGAGAAAGTCACATATCAATAGTTCTGTTATTTTTTTACTTGAGAAGATCTTACCTGAGGAATCTTGTAAATGCTCAAAATGTCAGCCATAACCTGAGAATTATGAGAGTTGGGTCCAGCAATAACACAAACTGAATTTTGATGGATGCTGCATTTATAATTGGGAACAAATCTGTCATGTGAAGAAAGAAGCTCCATAGAAGCAAGGTAGGTCCACGTTGCCATGAAATAACTGTTAGATATCCCAAAGCCCAGAGTGATGTTTGGCAAGATCTGCAGATTTTCATTGATTTCCTTTACAGCAAAGATCAAGGACAAGATATGCTGGTATGTCTGTAGAAACAAACTTTAAGGGATGGATGGATGGATGGATGGATGGATGGATGGATGGATGATGGAAGGTAGGTCCAAGTTATATTTATAAAAGATTCACTCAACTCATTTGCAATTTGTGCTACTACTTTTCTTACAATCATTATGTAAAATAATCCTGCTTGTCTCTCAACTCTGAATCAATGATCTCTCCTTTCTGAAAACCTTCTTCAGGAATTTTCCCAAATGCGTTTTTTTTTTTTAAGGCAACTGGACTTTCATTGTTTTTCCTTGAAGATGTTTCACTGCTCCTCCAAGAAACTTCTTTAGTTCCTCTTCAAGGAAAAACAAAGAAAGACCAGTTGCCTTTTGAAAAAGCACCTTTGGGATCACCATGTCCTGGATGACTGAGAATCTCCACAGACATCATTTAAGACCTCTTCTAGATCATTCTTCTGCATCATCCTCTATTTCCACCCCTACACCCCAAATCTCTCTTAGGACTGTACTCCATATATCTGAAGAAAAGGGATGAAGACTGGAAACGTTTATGAAGTAAAGTATAGTTAGATGTTAGGTTGCCATAAACCACAATAGAAACTTTCTCCTATTGAAAACAAGTTGGTCGGTCAAGTATAATATCCATTCCTATTCTTCACTAATGAATTCTATCCAGCTTCAATCAAGAAGTAGGTGGCATGGAACCAGAAAGTATAACCACATCCACATAATGAAAACAGTAAAAAGTCTTCTGCATAGAATGAGAATTTAGCCTCCAAAATGAAATGTTTAACTTTAGTTTTACCTCATAGAACTGTCTCTTCTTTGCAGAATGTGATCTGATCAGTTACATATATATATATATATATATATATGATTGTGTGTGTGTGTGTGTGTATGTGTGTGTGCTGTATATGTACAAGTCAAGATAGTATTATACATATAGTACTATCTTGAGACTTGAGTAAAACTCAGATATCTGTTAAGCAAGACCATGTATATACTTTATGAAGATAAAACATAAAGCAGGAAAAAAAACTGTTAACCCCCTTATTATAAAATAATAAGGTATAAAAATAAAAATAAATAAATAAATAAAGTATGTAAGAAACATAGTAGAATCTTGGAGCAGAGGAAGGATAGCTGAAAGGGGATAAAAGTTAAGTTTCAATCATTTACTCCTTCCCCAAAATACATTGACTAATTATCCAGAAAATTTAGTAGCTAACAAAATTAAGAAGGACAACTACATACATGGGATCATCAAGCAGTTCTTCAGATGGAATTGTTTTGAAGGTGACTAGATTAGACATCATGTAGATCAGAGAAATAATGCCACCAATGATGAGATCACCTGAACGGTAAGACTTGTATTTAATACTAGGGTTGTCGATGGTGCATTTAGCATCATAGCACATCGCCTGAGAAAGCCATATTAGCATGCACAGTCTGAAGAGTAACATAGCAAATTAAAGATGTGTGTTGCCCAAGTGATCGTTGATATGGCTTCTGAATATAGGACAATCTAACATTTTACCTCTTTTTTCTGCATTTCTGAATGCAGAAATGCATAGCAAAAACAATCAGAATCACAGAGCCTTGCTCTTTAAGCCTTATATTTGAATGTGTTTAGGAACATGAAATATTAATAATATCACTCAGTCTTGGTTGGGTGTCTGTTTTGCTCTGCTCTATGAAACTCCCTGGAGTCCAGAGGAGTAAAATTAAAACAAGGTCAATTATATCTTGCTCTTCTGATATTGCAGAAGAAAATAATTGATCTCACCCAGGTGTAAATGGTTTGTGGGGATTTTTTTCCAGGTCTTTTCTCCCTCTATCGATTATCTGAATGAGTTCTTAATAGATAATATACAAATTGTATTTTTCAAGAGAGCTTCTATTTCTGCAAAAGCCATATTTCTATTTTTGCAAAGCTTTTAACTATGCATAACTATGCAGGAAAGCTTGGAAGAATGTTGTCCATGGGGTCGTGATGGGTCAGACATGACTTCGCAACTAAGAACAACAAATTTCTAAATTTGCATGTATTGTGCTTATCTTTAGCCTCATAGGCACTATGAAGAAGCAGATGCAGCACTTCATAAATGGCAGAGAAAAATAGTTTTATATTTGTTTCTTGGTTAGTTTTTTCCTTTTTGTTTAATTCGGGCCTCAGAACAATAATGTAGCTGTCACAAGTAAATGCCTTATTCTCCATTATGTAAATAGTACATGAACAGGGTATCAGGGGTTAACGTATTCTTCACCTCTTAATGTATTCATATTTCACCACTCCCATATCTAGCTCCACCCATTGTATATATAAGGAGCTGCATACGTCCTTTCTGAGCTTCTATCTGTGAATATTCAGTGAATATAGAATGCCTTATGTAAATAAACAGTGATTTAGTTGAATTGATAATTCTCAACTTATTTATTGAGTCTGATCCTGAAAATATCATAACAATCTGGTTGCAGAGGATGGTTAAATTGACTCAATAAAAACTTAAACATGTCTAAAAGAGATAGGCCCAACACCAGGGCATACAGCAAAGAAATGGAAGCGGATCAAGAAATAATTGATAAGTCCATGAATGCAATTTCGAGAGAATCTGAAGAATACACCACAGACGACGAAGAAATAATAAATGAAGATGATGACCAAGAAGAAAACGAAATAGAAAACAACGAACTCAGGTCAGAGATACTAAAACTTTTAAAAAGCCAAAAGAGCGATGAAAGTCTCGTCGCGAACCTCCAAGATATACTAAAAAACAACGGAGCAGCGAGAGAGAAGCACATCGCTACTGAAAAATCAAAAGACTCAAAAATAGTGAGTAATATGCTTGCAGATGAAAACGCAACGAAGAAGAAAACCAACAATCCCACGCAAAATTTCGAATGGCAGCCATCTTGGTTTCAACAGACCCCTAAGATGAGCGGAGCAGAGCCAATCAGAAAGCAGGATTCAAAATATCTGGCGCGAAAAGCCTTACTCGATGCAAAAATGAAAGAGAAAAAAATATATACCTCAGAAGAATCAGACACAGAGAACGAAGAAGATTCAATAGATATGCAAGTAAAATCAGCAATGAAAACGCTTTTTGCAGCATTTGGACCAAAACTGAAGATCACCAAAAAATCAACAAAAAAACAAGCAAGCGAGCCAACGCCTCAAAATCTACCCGCTCCTATCCAGACGGCGAGAGCACCGACGCCTGAGCCCAGAGAGCCCTGCAGATACCGCCCCACACCGCAGACTAATCCAAGGACCAGCGCCTTCAGCGAAAGAAAACGAGCGCCCGCTATCACCAGGACTCCAAAGATCGAGCCGGAGACTGATTCATCGGAAGAAGAACAAAGCGAGGGAGCTGCAGCAGCGAGAACCTCTCACGGTGACTCCAGGAACGAAATGAGCAACGCGCATGCGCAAGACTACGCAGACAACTTCGGAAGACATGAGATGCGGAGAGAATCATGCAAACTCGTCGCTAGCATCCCCACGCCGTTTTGCAACTTTCACCATTTGCAAGACCACGGACTACCTCCGGTTGTAAGTAATGGACCCAACAATGTTGGGAATTTACCCAATGACTTCCCAAAGCTGAGGATAGATGGCATTAATTTGCAAGAATGGTATCAGCAGCTCCAGGTTGTCTTTATGAAAGAAAATTTACTCTTTTTTATTCCTAACCCCCCCAAAAGACCTTGGACTCTAAAGTTAGATTGCCTACACCATAGAGCATTCTTCTTATTAATTTCCAGTGTATCTCCTGCCATGTATCACAGTATTAAGCAAAATCTGACTGTCTCAGAAATTATCCAATGCATGTTTAATTTATTTCACAGTGAAAGTGTAGCCACTACCACAAGAATGTCTAAAGATTTCTTCTCTTCTAGGATAAAGCCAGGGGTTACCATAAGTGAACATTTAATATCTTTAAACAAAATTAGAGCAGAACTGCACTTAAGGGGGGGGAAGTGATTTCAGATCAAACGATGAAAAGTGTTATCATCAACTCACTTGACCCATCATGGGATAATTATATGTCACATTTAGACACAATCAATCTAGGATACTTATCCATAGAAAGTCTATCTAACAAGTTAATAGCTGAAGACAATTCAAGGAGGAGTCGTTATAACAACCACATAGAACACAAACAATATAAAAAGGTAGCATCTCAAGAAAGATATCATGAACCATTTAGATGCCACAATTGTGGGTCCAGAGAACATAATAGGAGGGATTGTCCTAAAATTCTAAGAGAAAGACACAGGTCAGAATATAGAAATAGGTACAACAACAGAAAACCTTCCATTGATAGACACAGGTATAGAAGTCCACCCAACTATAGAGAACGTAGAGGGGGCAGAGACAATTCAAAGGATAGAAAGTCTGGTTCACTGAATGGGCTAGACAAACATGACAACATTAACATACAACAACCAGAGAACAACAATTGGCTTATTGATTCTGGAGCAACCAATCACACTACAAATAATAAAAATATATTATCTTCTTTTGTAGAAGATAAATTTGTAATCAAAGTAGCTAATCAAGAAAAGGTTCAAGTAATAGGTAGAGGGAATGTAACCTTACCAGGCCTAGGAAAAGTAGAGGGGGTATTACTAATACCTGAGATACCTCATAACATACTTAGTGCAATAAAACTAAGCAGAGATTCTGACATTAACATTGTGTTCTCAAAAGGAAAGGCAACATTAGAGAAAAACAGAACAAACATAGGCACAGTAATAATCAAAGGAGGTCTACCTTATTTAATGACAAAGGAGAAATGGTTAAACAACATTGATTCAAATATGGAAGATGACAATGAAATAGATAATGGAGACAATAGTAACAGTGACAATGAGGAACATGAAGTAACTCATAACCACAAAGATACACACAATGAAAAAAAACCTAAAATAGGTAAACCAATTCACGATGAGTGTGCTCATGTCTTACATAGGAAATTAGGACATGCCAGTTTTCCTGTAGTGCAAAAGATGACTGAACATGCAGAAGGTGTTAAAATAAAAAATTGTGAAAACTATTTGGAATGCTCAGTATGTAAATCTACAAAACTCAAAACTAGTCCCAGACCTAGAAAGTCAACGAGATCAGCTAACAAAATTTTTGATTTGGTACATATGGATCTAGTTGGTCCATTAACACCATCAATTACTTATAAAAAATGTTACTTTCTAACCATTGTGGATGATTATAGTCGTTATGGATTTGTTTACACATTAAAACATAAAGATGAAACCTTTCAGAAATTTAAGGAGTTTTACAAACGTATAGAAACACAACACAATATTAAAATAAAACAAATCATGACAGATAGGGGATGTGAATTCATGTCTAAGGAATTATCCCAATGGCTAAAAGACAAAGGAATGTTACATTACACATCTAGCCCATTTTCTGCATTCCAGAACGGAGTGGTAGAGAGAAAGAACTCAACATTACAAACCATGATTAGATGCACATTAGAGGATGCTGGCTTAGGTAAACAATTCTGGTCAGAAGCCCTACAATATTCTAATTACACACAAAACAGAACTTGGTCCAGTATAGTAAATAAGACACTGTATGAAGCGATGTATAACAGAAAACCAAAACTAGCACACATGCACATATTTGGAGTCACTGCAGACGTACACATACCTAAACAATTGAGGCTCAAAGGTGAGAATGTATCCAGAAGACTTAGATTTATGGGATACGAGACAGGTACAAAAGGATACAGATTTATCGATAGTAATAACAAATTTATAGTTTCCAGAACAGCTGTGTTCCATGAACAGGCCAACTGGTCTAGAATACATCTTAATGGAATATTCCCAAACACAAATCCAGGCACTAAACTCCAAGAAAAAGGGGATAGAGAAGAACATAGTAACAACACGCATAAAAATAAAGTTAAAACATGGACAAATAGTCAACACAAAATAAGAACAGATTCATTAACTAAAAAGGAAGCGAGGTATATGCATGACAATGATACTAAACCAGAAAGAGCAATCAGAAGTAGCAGAAACCAAGTGCCAAACAAATACAAAGATTATGTAATGCATATGGATGGAGAATCACCAACACCTAACACATATGAGGAAGTGTTAAAACTTCCTCCTGAAGAAAGGAAAAAATGGGAATCAGCCATGAGTAAAGAGATGGATAGTTTACGAGGGCTGAATGTATTCACACCTACAATTGCACCAAAGGACAAAACCATCATTGGCACTAGGTGGATATATAAAATTAAAAATTTAGAGGGAGGCAATACTCTATACAAAGCTAGATTAGTTGCGCAAGGTTATGCACAGAAATATCCCGAGGATTATACAGATACATACTCCCCCACAGTAAGAACAGAGAGTGTCAAGACAGCTCTGGTTATAGCATCAGCACTCAACCTCGATGTGTTCCAATACAACATACAGACTGCGTATTTACATGCAAAATTAGATAAAGAAATATATGTAAGAGCACCCTACAGTCAATACACAAACAAAAATGAAACTTGGTTACTAAATAAAAGTTTATACGGGTTGAAACAATCTGGTAAACAATGGTATGATTGTTTAGTAAAAGTACTCAAAACTATGAATTTCAATGCCACTACTGCTGATAATTGTTTCTTTGTCAAAAAAGAGGATGATTCACTAGAATTTATATTGATCTATGTGGATGATATTTTGTACATAGGTAAACATAATGAGAGGAGAGAAGCGTTTGTAACAAAACTGAATGAACATTTTTCATTGAAATCTTTGGGTAAAGTAAATAAGTATCTTGGTGTTCAAATCAGTAAAACCAGAAGGGGATTTAAGCTTTCTCAAAAGGACAAAATCATAGAGCTCTTGAATAAATGTAATTTAAGTAATGCTAAGCCTTGTGATACTCCAATGCAAACTGATTTTTTAAAGAATACAGACGAATCATCCCCTGAATTCAAAGACAATACATTTTACAGGTCAGTCATAGGTTCACTTCTTTATATCTCCAATTGGACTAGACCTGATATTGCTTTGCCTCTTAACTTATTGTCCAGACACGTTAGTAAACCATCACTATACCATTGGGAAGCTGTCAAAAGGATATTAAGGTACTTGAAGAATAGTTTAGACTTCTGTTTGTTATTGGAACCTAATACTGTCAAAGAGCCCATCCTCACATGTTATGCAGATGCGGATTGGGCTGGCGATACCTCATGTAGAAAAAGCACATCTGGCTATTTATTCTTCCTTAACGGTTGTCCAGTTTACTGGTATACTGGCAAACAAGATCTAGTAGCCACTTCAACAACAGAGGCAGAATATGTTTGTCTATCTAAGGCTGCAAATAACCTTGTATGGTTTAACGATTTACTTTCTGATATTTGGAAGAAACCCATTTTGCCTTTTATTATGCATGAAGACAATAAAGCTGCTATCGAAATATCTAGGTCTGATGCTATTGGACAAAGGTCCAGACATATAGATATAAAGTTTAAACATGTGAGACAATTATCTCAAGATGGATTTATCAAAGCAGTTCATTGCGAAACATCAGAGCAAATAGCTGACATATTAACAAAGCCTTTGCCATCTAAGCAACATAAATACTTGACTTCTAAATTACATGTCTTATATTGTTCTGAATCTGATTGTAATTGTTGTAATATATCGAATCGGCATTTAGAGGGGGATTTGTCACAAGTAAATGCCTTATTCTCCATTATGTAAATAGTACATGAACAGGGTATCAGGGGTTAACTTATTCTTCACCTCTTAATGTATTCATATTTCACCACTCCCATATCTAGCTCCACCCATTGTATATATAAGGAGCTGCATATGTCCTTTCTGAGCTTCTATCTGTGAATATTCAGTGAATATAGAATGCCTTATGTAAATAAACAGTGATTTAGTTGAATTGATAATTCTCAACTTATTTATTGAGTCTGATCCTGAAAATATCGTAACAGTAGCATTTGGGGAAAAAGATGCAGCTCAGTAATCCTGCTGCAGAAGCCAAAATGGAGAAGATCTCCACAGCCACCATGTATTTCCCCTTGGTGCTCAGATAGGTTGGAACAAATGACATCCAGACACTACAAAAGACCAACATGCTGAAAGTGATAAATTTGGCTTCATTAAAACTGTCAGGTAGTTTCCTAGCAAGGAAAGCCACCATGAAACTGATAGCAGTCAAGAACCCCAGAAAACCAAGGGCGATATAAAACATGATGGCGGAACCTTCATTACATTCCAGGACAATTTCTTCAGTCATTGAGTGGATGTCAGAATCTGGAAATGGAGGAGAAATTGCCAGCCACACACTACAAATTGTGACTTGAACCAGGGAGCAGGACAAGACAATAGTATAAGCCAGCCTTTTCCCAACCCATTTCCTGATTTTGGAACCAGGCTTGGTGGCCATGAAAGCAAGAACCACTATGGTTGTTTTCCCCAGAATACAAGATAGGGCTACAGAGAAGATGATGCCAAAAGCAGTTTGTCGCATGAGACATTTTGCTTGATCAGGTTGCCCAATGAAGAGCAAACTGCAAAGGAATGAGAGCAGGAGTGCAATGAGAAGAATGTAGGTGAGGTTCCTGTTGTTGGCTTTGACTATGGGAGTATCCTGGTGTTTAATAAAGATTCCAAACACTACAACTGAGATGAAAGAAAAGAGGAAAGAAACACTGGTTAAGGTGATTCCCAAGGGTTCTTTGTAAGACAAGAAAGTTCTGAGTTTTTTAATGCACTGATCCTGGTTCTTGTTAGGATAGTATGCTTCAGGGCATGGGAAACAGTCCTGTAAACCTGAAAAAGGAAATAGACTTGTTAAGAGATAAAACTTCAGGGTTAGCTCTGCCTTTCCTAATTTTCAGAAATACAATATTTCAGTGCCTCAAATTTCCAGTAATTCATCATAAAAACTGAGAAATTTAGGGAATTTGAAATCCAATTTATCAGAAAGGCTCTAGGGCAGGATTTTTTGAGGAGAGATCCTTGAGAATTATTTGATTTAGTTCATACTATTCAATTATATTTGAAATTGGATAACATCCCCACTCACATTATTGCCTATAGGAAACAAGTCATATACTCTGTGAACAGTGTTTATAATAATTGCCTTCCCTCTGTTAAAAGTATATTTTGGTGTAAAAAAAAAAAAGAGAGAGATGAATAAAGGCAATTAGCTCAATTCTGAATCCAATGCATATGCTCTCTGAAAAGAGCACTATCAAAAGGATACCTCCAACTCTTCCTTCCTTTAAAGTGAGAGAAGAGGAGGAGGAGGAGGAGGAGGAGGAGGAGGAGGAGGAGGAGGAGGAGAAGAAGAAGAAGAAGAAGAAGAAGAAGAAGAAGAAGAAGAAGAAGAAGAAGAAGAAGAAGAAGAAGAAGAAGAAGAAGAAGAAGAAGACCATTCTTGTTAAGGTTCTCCTGAATTGGAAACATTAATCTGTATTCTATGCTCACTGTGCAGGAAGATATTAATAGAGATTATTATTGCAAAAATCTCTCAATTTATATTGAGTAGATTGTTGCTTTACACTGTGGAGTTCTACCTGTTGGGACAATAGAGATAAACTACACTGACCAAGCTCAGAGAGCACCACTGACTCCACAGTTCAATCCTCACCTGCATATATTTCTTCTATTGAAAGAAATCATGGTAGGCTAACCATTATTTGACAAGGGCTAAATCACCTGACCTTAAGGGATACAGTAACCAATTCAGAGCTGGCCTGCACTTCTTTAGTTGGACGGACTAAGCACAAGCAAATTTCCATGTTGGTAGTCATATGTATTCATAAATGTCTGGGGTAGACACATTTTTGGGTCCATTCTCCTTCTCGATGGGACTGGTAGGGCAACTCATGGTGACTGGACAGGAATCTGACAATGTCAATGATATTTGATGTCTTTTATTTATTGTTTACCATTTATATATTTTGTTTTACTTCATCATTGTCTGATTCTAAATGACCCTATGGTCATTTAGAAATGGGAAATATATATAATATATATAAATGGGAAATGGGAAATATATTAAAATGGGAATATATATAAGAAAAAATAAGGGAAGGCGAGTAGGTCAAAAACCACATGTCACACTCCAAAGATCTACACTTCAACCATCCGAACTGTAATCCTGGAAAAGTTCAGAATACATTCTAGTGGTTCTGAGGTAAAAACTAATTCAGGTGTCATTTGTCCTTTTGTGAGATGGAGTAATGTTTGCTTGGGAAAATTCTATGGTTGTTATGGTAACAATCTCTATTCTCAGAATCTGTAGGGATAAATGACCCAATAAGATATATTTATTTAGTTGTTTTAAAATATTGTTAGTATTTTGATTGTAATACTTTTTTGAATTGTAAGAAGGCCAGCGTTATTGACTAAGATGGGCAGCTACAAAAAGTGAATAAATAAATATATACACAGACAAATCTCAGAAGCCTGGGTAGTACTTTGAACCTATTGATCTTCAGAGCTAATAGACACCAATTCTTCTTGAATGTCATCTCCTACCTGTCTGGTTGGCAATTTTCCCTTTTGGGCAACGAAGGCATTTGTATCAGCAAAATGGCTTCCCTTCTATTTTGATCTTGCTGTAACCCAAGGAGCAATAATCATTGCACAAAGAAAGAGCTTGTGTCTGTTAATAAATGAAAGGGCAACATATTTAGAATTTAAACATTAATAATCTAGAAATCACCAACTCTGAGGAATCTTTCCTTTCTTTTTTGTTTAGAATTATGAAACATTCCATGCCAGTGGTGGGATTCAGCCAGTTTGGGCCAGTTCGGGCAAACCGGTAGTTAAATTGCTGACTGGCCCCACCCCTTCCAGGAGTCCCCACGCACCCAGGTAAGCACAGGGAAGCCTCCTAGGCCCAAAATGAGGCGTGGGGGGATGCAGCACACACCCCCCGTGGCCCATTTTCACTCCCAGGAGGCTGCAAGGAGGCCTACTAGGCCCAAAATGGGGCGCGGGGGGTGGCACATCCCCCTGTGGTCCGGTTTTGCTCCCGGGGGGGTGTCACCCACCCACCCAAATGGTCAATAGGGCCGAGAACCGGTTGTTAAATTATTTGAATCCCACCACTGAGGCCAGTTACAAGACATGTCTTATACCTTATCCTTCTAGAATAATGAGTGATATCAATAGAAAACTCTTTATTCCTCTGATAGATGTCAAGGATTAGGGATAATTAACTTAGAAGTAAGAATACATTGAGTTTCTTATACAAAATCTTCAAAATCCTTTATCAAAAATATTGCTTTTCCTGTGCTTGTTTCATTAATTTGTGCAGCTGTTCAAGCAAGCTATTTGGACATCAGCTGCAATATGAGTTGTTAACCACCACTTTAAAAAATGAATAAAAGTTACCTGGTTAAAAAAGATGGGCCAACCATGTTATTTGTCGATAGAGAGAAAAGGTTTTCTAGTTGAGCAGACGGATTTACTTTTCCAATTTTGACCCTAAGAAAGGATTGATTTGTGAAGGTGACCCAATTGATAATATCAAAGCCAGACGAGACCTTCCCATTTTGATCAAAGAAAATATTTTCTCCAGCACTGTTGTTAAATGTGACTTTTCTTAAGTAGGGATGAAGCTCAAGGGAAGAATATGACAATAATTAATAAAGATCTACATTGATGGCAAAATATATAGCAATATTATTTCAGAAGATATTGCTATGCCCCCTAATATAATAGTAGCATTAATTCATCAGGTCCATCAGCAGGCCCAGGAATAATTACCAGGAGAGGCAGAGAAGTGCTAAACAGAAAACTCTGTTTTCATGGCCATAATCTAGAACTATATTGTATGTCACAATCACCAGCTGCATGTTCTCCTCCTTTCTGTTATTTGGCAACCACACAATCTCTTTTATCTTCCTCCTCACCATTGACTCTCTCTTTCCCCTAATATAATTTTCATTTCAAAGGGAAAAGATTGGAGATTGGAGACAATTTATCTAACTCAACTAGGTCCAAGAATGGCTTCTTTAAAGTAGACAAAAGCAATAGCACTTAGACTTACATACTGCTTCACAGTGCTTTACAGCCCTCTTTAAGCGGTTTACAGAGTCAGCCTATTGCCCCCAACAATCGGGGTCCTCATTTTACCGACCTTGGAAGGATGGAAGGCTGAGTCAACCTTGAGCCTGGTGAGATTTGAACTGCCAAATTGCAGGCAGCTGGCAGTCAGTAGAAGTAGCCTGCAGTACTGCACTCTAACCACTGCGCCACCACAGCTCTTTATATAGTGAATCTGAATATAGTATAGTGAATGTAATATAGTGAATCTGAAAGAGGGAGGGAGAGGAGAAAAATCCTTTAACTATGCTGCTGTACCTGGTGATCAAATAATGAACCAATATTCATTATTAAGTATTCATAAAACTTACACTTTTTCAAATTAAAAAAAAGCTGGGATAGATAGGTTCTGATCTACCCAAAACATTCCTCCAGCATTAAAATGGTTTCTATATAATTTGTGAACAGCTGTAGATATGGAAGCAATATTATCTGCTAGATCAGTAAATATAGAGTAGGATCTTACCTGCCACATTGGATGATTGAGAAGCTTCTGTTTCCCACTACCGGCCATTACTCTTTGTTTGTAGTGGGGTGTAAGCATGGCTTGGAGAGCATGTGCCACAGCATAGACTGCATTGTAGATACTGTAGCTTTGCCCAGTCATGCTCAATTCAAAAACAGAGTCTGGAAGAGCCTCCAGCTTCTCTTCCCCAGTGCAGCTTTTCTCTGCCTCTGGGTTTAAAGTGGATTTTGAGAAAGAACATTCAAAGGCTTGTTCCCAAAAGACCCTTGAAAAACAGTCTATGTTTTCTGGAACACTGTTTCTCATCTAAAGAAATCTTTTGAATCCCATTAATTTTTTTGACGACACTGCATAAGAAAGAGCACCATGGATAAAATCCATACTCCAGTCTCTTTGAAATGGAACTGAAGTGTATTGCATCTGGGCTGGGAAAATCCAAACTTTATTGTTTATCTCCACTGTTGTGTCCCAATAATTTGATACATAGGAGATCGTCCTGAAAGCTGCCATGGCCTGGTTTTCAGAATAGACAATCGCAACACTGGAGGTACTTCTCATAATGACTTTGCACACTTCGACAAAAGCAAGGACTTGTTCTCCCATCTCGTTTGAAAAAGCAACTGTTGGCAGCTCTTCAATATAATCAAAGCAGATTCCATTTTGAGATAAGACGAGAAGCGCTTCCCTCAGAAATCGTTCACCAATCTCATTTTCTTGAAATATTATCCCAATCCATGTCCAATTAAAGTGAAGCAGCAACTGGAGAATCCCCATAATGTGAAGATGTTCATCGGGATACATCTGATAGAAGAAAGCTGTATGAATCATATTATCCATCACTGGAGCAGAGCCATATGTGAGCTTAGGAGGGGAAAAAATCAAAGTATAAGAGGTATGTGTATATATTTGATACAATTAGAATAGAATTATAGAATAGAATAGAACAGAATAGAACGGAACGGAACGGAACGGACGGAACAGAACAGAACAGAACAGAACAGAACAGAACAGAACAGAATAGAATAGAATAGAATAGAATAGAATTCTTTATTGGCCAAGTGTGATTGGACACACAAGGAATTTGTCTTTGGTGCATATGCTCTCAGTGTACATAAAAAGACAAGATACATTTGTCAAGAATCATAAGATACAACACTTAATGATAGTCATACGGTACAAATAAGCAATCAAATCATACTACATATAAATTGTAAGGATTCAAGCAACAAAGTTACGGTCATAAGTGGGAGGAGATGGTTGATAGGAACAATGAGAAGACTAATAGTAATAGTAATGCAGGTTTAGTGAAGAGTTTGACAGTGTTGAGGGAATTATTTGTTTAGCAGAGTGATGGCATTCAGGAAAATCCTGTGCCTGTGTCTAGTTGTTCTGGTGTGCAGTACTCTATAGCAGGGGTCCCCAATCTTTTGGACCTCAGGGACCACCAAGTTCATAATTTTAAATTTCACGGACCACTAATACGAATCCAGCGCGCCACTTGCTGAAGCACCTGGACTCCCAGTGATGGGATGGAGTCCTTCAGGCACTCTCCCTCCTCTCCCTCCCTCCCTCCCTCCCTCCCTCCCTCTCTCTCTCTCTCTCTCTTTCTCTCTCTTTCTCTCTCCCTCCCTCTCCCTCCCTCCCTCTCTCTCTCTCCCATTCTCTCTCATTCTCCCTTTCTCTCTCTCTCTCCTCTCTTTCTCTCTCTCCCACTCTTTCTGTCTCATTCCCTCTTTCTCTTTCCCCCACTCTCTCTCTCATTCTCCCCCTCTTTCTCTCTCTCCCCCACTCTCTCTTTCTCTCTCCCCCCTCTCTCCCCCCACTCTCTCTCTCATTCTGATTCTCTCATTCTGATTCTCTCTCTCTCTGATTCTCTTTCATTTTGTCTCTCTCTCTCTCATTCTCTCTCTGATTCTCTGATTCTCTCGCTTTCATTCTCTCTTTCTCTGTCTCTGATTCTCTCTCTCTCACTCTCTCTCTGATTCTCTGTCTCTTTCTCTCTTTCATTCTCTCTCTCATTCTCTCTCTTTCATTCTGTCTTTCCCTCTCTTTCATTCTTTGTCTCTTTCTCTCTCTGTCTCATTCTGATTCTCTCTCTCTCTCTCTCACACACCTCATGGGCCAGCCAGTGTCTTGGGGCTGAAAGGAAGTCAAGCATCTCCCTGGGAGACCAAGGTGCATGGAGCACCAACAAGGGCCGGAAGAAGTGTGGGAGTGAAGCACTAGTTGAACTTACACGGCATGAGCATTCACTTTGGTATATTTGTGGCATAAGGCAGTCCTCGTTTCCTGCCGCTTGGGACTCGGAGTGATAAACAGTGCCTGGTTCGGGGAGCAGCCGGATTTTGCTCTCCATTGCGGATGCCAGATCGCCCCCCTGCAAGTTCTCATCTCTCAAGGAGCCTGATCAAAGTTTCCAGCTCCGCTTCAGGGAGTGCTCCTCGAGATGAGAGCTTGCAGGGGCCGATCTGGCATCCGCAATGGAGAGCAAAATCCGGCTGCTCTACAGACCAGATGCCATTTACCACTCCGAGTCCCAAGCAGCAGGAGACAAGGGCTGCTTTGCGCCACTGGCTGGCGCAAATATACCAAGGCTGAATGCTGTTGCTGTGCAAATGAAAGTAGTGCTTCGCTCTCACAGCTTCCAGCCATCGCAAATGCATCTTCTTTCCACTTGTGCCGCCCCCTTCCCTGCCGCCACAACAGTACCATTCATTCCAGACAGTGAGGCCTGCACTCCTTTTTCCATATTGCACCACCTGCAAAAATGCAAAAATACAAAAATTTCTCTGCGGACCACCAAAATTTTCTTGCAGACCATCAGTGGTCCACGGGCCACCGATTGGTGACCACTGTTCTATAGCATCGTTTTGAGGGTAGGAGTTGAAACAACTTATGTCCAGGATGTGAGGGGTCTGTAAATATTTTCACAGCCCTCTTTTTAAATTGTGCAGTATACAGGTCCTCAATCGAAGGCAGGTTGGTAGCAATTGTTTTTTCTGCATTTTTCTGCATAATTGAAAAATGGTTAATATCACTGATCCATATTGTTGGTTTGATTTTCAAGGCTTATTCCTAACTCCTTGAAGATCTTACTTTAATTTCTATGAAGTTAATGGCACTAAACTGATTGGAAATCTATTGTTTCTAAAAATGATATGATACGATTTGATCACCTTCAGTGCAGATGGAATGCATGAGGTTTGGGAAAAGAGTAAAAATATAGAAAACCTCTTTATATGGTGCATCAGAGAAGTTTAATCTAGTGAGACCATTGACTTTCAGGATTGATGTAATGTTTTTACTACTTTTCTACCATCAATGTACTTGGGACCATTAAAAAACTAGTTTCCATCTAATTTGGGTATAGAGAAAAAATATTAATTGAACCAATTAGTAAGTAGTTTTCTGTGAAGTTTCCCACAGCGTAGCTGGTTCTGATGGGTATAACAATGGGTACATATGGATACATATTTATCCAGAAGAAATTGAAATATAAATGGATAGTGAACTATTCCATTGGTAGAATGATCTATGTAACTTCTTATTGAGGTTTTTGTGATAGAATTTCCATTATTTAAGAATGTAACGATATCTTAGTGCACTGTTTTATTATTCTCTTATGATTTGAAAAAAAAAATTGTAAGATTTCATTAACACAATTTTTTAAAGATTCCTAAAGAACACAAACATATTTATAAGAAAACTTTGAACTAAATGTTCAAGTTTAAGGGGGAAAAAAAGATCAAATAAACATTATTATAGTGACTGGTGCCAACCTGCTTAGATTTATTTTCCTTATAAAATTATGGATCATAGCCCAAGATAAGAAATGTCATACCTTCTCTGACAGATAGTTTTCCAACCTTTCCTTGAAAACCTCCAATTATGGAGTGTTTTGAAGTCCAAGAGGCAGGCTCTTTCAACTCCTTAACAACTTTGAAGATACATACTTTTTTAGCTCTGACATTTTTTCCTCTAGAGGCAGATTACAGAATAATTCTAAATCGAGGACTTGGTATGGTATATGAGAAGACACGAGGAAACCCCACAGTTTAGACAGTGGTATGACAAAAGGTAGCTAAGTCTAGAGTATAGGTGGGGAAAAGCATTAGAGAGCCAAGGTGTTGCAGTGGTTAGAGTGCAGCACTGCAGGATACTTCTGCTGACTGCTAGCTGCAGTTTGGCAGTTCAAATCTCACCGGCTCAAGGTTGATTCAGCCTTCCATCCTTCCAAAGTGAGTAAATTGAGGACCCAGATTGTTGTAGGTCAGGGGTGAAATGCTCCCGGTTCAGACTGGCTCGGGTGAGTAGGTAGCGATGGCAGCGGGCAGTTCAGAGAACCGGTAGCAAAAATCCCTTCCCTCCTCCCCCCCCCGCAGCCTCCAGCTTGCTTACCTTAGCTGCTGGTCACAACGCCTGCCTTGCTTCACTTGCTGTAATCCCTGCAATCCATTGCATCAGCAAGCAACTGAATCTCCCTGCCTGCAATCAAGCTCATTGGTGAGCAGCTCTATCTGCCTGCCTGTAAATTTTTTTCCCCTTTGGGAACTTTAAAAAAATAGTTAATTGGGTTTTTTTTAGTTGTTATTTTTTTAGACCTAGCCATTTAAAGTTTAGGAAGTTTTAAATTTAGCTGCTTTTATATAAAAATGAAAATAAAATAAAATTAATTAATATTTGTGCAGCTTTCTGAGATTTTGTGTGTTTCTGTAGTGTTTCACTCTAACTACACAAACACACAAAATCTCACAAATCCACATACAAAGCTGTATGTGGAATTTTGTGTGTGTAAAGTGTGAAAGTTGGTTTTTTCAGCTTTTTGTGGCTGTATGAGGTTACTGCTTGTTTCAGGGGCCATTTTGGGTCTAGCAAAGCTGCTTTTACATTGTGGGTGAGCCAGTTGTGTTGTGTTGTGTGTGTGTAAAGTGTTGTTTTTTTGGGCTTTTTGTGGCTGTGTGAGGTTCCTGCTTGTTGCAGGGGCCATTTTGGGTCTAGAACAGCTGTTTTTACATTGTGGGTGAGCCAGTTGTGTTGTGTTGTGTTTTGTAGGTTAAAAAAGGGCAACGAAGTGATGTTGACTTGGCCACGCCCACCTGACCACCAAGCCACGCCTACCCAATCACCTGACCACCAAGCCCCACCCACTAATTAAGCCACACCCACAGAACCGGTAGTGAAAATATTTAGATTTCACCCCTGTTCTAGGTCCTAAGACAGAAATTCAACAGGTGGAGGAGGTCATTTGGGGTTGACAAGCTAATATCATCCCTTACAAATAAGCAGGCTAGGAGGGAGGAAACAGTAAGAATTAAGCCTCCATCAAACAGCATGATGACAGCAAAAACAACACAGCTAATTACAAGAGGGAGATGGCTGGAAGGGCCTATTACACGCATAATGGCCAAATTGTTTGATGGCATATAAAGGCAGAGATCTCTGTAATGGTAGTTTAATACTCTGACGATGTCAGCAGGTGGCTGACAAAAGCTTAGTAGAATAAAATTTTAATTATTTTAGTTCTGGAGTTTGCAGAATGTCTGTTAATGTGTGTGTGTGTGTGTGTGTGTGTGTGTGTGTGTGTGTGTGTGTGAAGAAACTATTGTGACTGAGATTATGTGAGCTACAATTATATGTATTAGATTATTACTAGTTATCTGCCAAAGAGATTTGGCATGGCAGTAATACTGAATACAGAATAATAGAGTTAGAAGGAATACTAGAGGTCTTCTAGTCCATCTCCCTGCTCAAGTAGTAGACCTTATTCCATTCCAGACAAATGGCTGTCCAATCTCTTCTCAAAAACCTTCAGTGATAGAGTACTCACAACTTCTGGAGGCAATAGCAATAGCACTTAGACTACTATACTGCTTTACAGTGCTTTATCACCCCCTCTAAGCAGTTTACAGAGTCATCATATTGCCCCCAACAATTTTACCCACCTTGGAAGGATGGAAGGCTGAGTCAACCTTGAACCTGGTGAGATTTGAACTGCTCAACTGCAGTTTGGAAGGCAAGTCATTCCACTGAATTAATTGTTCTCACTGTCAGGAAATTTCTCCTTAGTTCAAGGTTGAATCTCTCTTTGTTAAGCTTCCATCCATTAATATACTCCATTATTATAACTGGTCTATGTAACTTTTGTATCTTTGGAATAATTATAATTGCCTTCTAAGTGAAATTTCGAACCACCTTCTCAATTAAGCTCCTGCTCCAGATGCCACTGAAAGAAAGGAAGACCAATGAACAAGGGAAAGCTTTCTAGCCTGAATAGAAGAGCTGCTTCCATACTTGGCTGCATACAAACCAAAAGACTATTTTGAAGTGTTTGTAGGATAAATCATTGTTCAAGCATATCTTGTTTCTTTGTTATAAATTCACTACTTTGATTGTCCAGACATATAATATGTTTTACTTTTCTTATTATTTTCTTGTTATCACTTTAATGGCTATGGAACTTCAATGGAAAGTAGCAGAAAATATTTCAAAATGAAAAAAAAAATCTTTTAAGAGCAAGAGAGAGCATCTCCTTTCTTTTTATTTCGAATTGGAGACAAGATCCTCTAATTTTGCACAATTTTCAGTAAATCAGAACTGGAAAATATGAAAGTAATGTCTAGCCAGACTTTATTTATTTGTTGGTTGTGATTTATTACAACCAAAAAAGAGAGAGAATTTTATGAAAGAGGAACTCACATATCAATAGTTCTATTGATTTTTACTTGAGCAGGTCTTACCGTAGAATCCCTTATACCACCAGACTTGAAATTCTGACCTTGGACAATCTGGAACTGCACCGCCTGTGGTCGGATGTAAGCATAGTACACAAAATTGTCTGCTACAACGTCTTACCTGTCAACGTCTTACCTGTCAACATCTTCTTCAGCTTCAACCACAATAATACATGGGCAAACAATTTATACAAACTCAAGGTAAACCACTCCAAACTCGATTGCAGAAAATACAACTTCAGCAACAAAGTGGTCAATGCCTGGAATGCTCTACCTAACTCCATTGTTACAGCCTCAAACCCTCACAGCTTCAACCTCAAACTGTCTACCGTGGAATCACCCTATTCCTAAAAGGTTTGTAAAGGGGGCATGCATAAGCGCACCAACATGCCTGCCATCCCTGTTTTACTGTCCCCATTTATCTGTACTTACTTCCTTTGTTTATGTTTATGTTTATACATAAACATAAACATACTAAACATAAACCTTCTATCTTGTACATGTTTGATAAATAAAATAAAACAAACAAACAAACAAAATAAATAAATAAATAAATAAATAAATAAATAAATAAATAAATACCTGAGGAATCTTGTAAATGCTCAAAACGTCAGCCATAACCTGGGAGATATGAGAATTGGGTCCCGCAATAACACAAATTGAGTTTTGGTCGATGCTGCATTTATAGTTGGGAACAAATCTGTCATGTGAAGAAAGAAGCTCCATAGAAGCAAGGTAGGTCCACGTTGCCATGAAATAACTGTTATATATACCAAAGCCCAGAGTGATGTTTGGCAAGATCTGGCGATTTTCATTGATTTCCTTTACAGCAAAGATCAAGGACAAGATATGCTGGTATGTCTGTAAAAACAAACTTTAAGGGAGGGCAGTGCCTAGGTCACAACAATGGAATTACCACACAAATAATTTGTTGCATTTCAATTTTATAATCTTTGTTAACAATTCCCCCCCCCAAAAAAGACCAGACTGCAGATAGAAAATACTTGTCCTCTCTTTACCATAAAAATAGTATAAAAAGATGCTTTTAAGAAGATGTTGGATAACCATTCGTCTGAAGTGGTGTAGGGTTTCCTGCCTAAGCAGAGGGTTGGACTAGAAGACCTCCAAGTCTGTTATTTTATTCTATTCTATTCTAATTACACATATGGGTTAGACTGTTAAACTGCCAAGGGGAAATTCAATGGAAGATGCAACATTCTTTCTACATATTTGTTAAAGGCCAAAATATTGTTCTTCCATGTTTATGCTTTCTATCTGTTCACATTTAAAACAATTCTGCCTTTCATCTTCTTTCCATGATTTCTTCCCATTCTTCTCTCCCCCCCATACCCGTGTGATTGAATTCCTTTCTCAAAATAATCTCATTCAATAAATGATTAAGTTATCTTTGAGTTACCTAGGTTTTGTTACAAAAGATTGATTCAAGAGATCCTCTGTAAACAAAACATGTCATTTGTATGACTAGTTTTCTTACAATTGTGTAATATAATCCTGCTCGTCTCCCATCTCTGAAACAACTCCTTGTTTTTCCTGATCTTTTCGTAATTCTTAAAGAATTATTCTAGATCATTCTCTAGTACTATTTCTTCCCTCCCCTCCCCCTAAAATCCTCTTTCAGGAACATATTCCATATATCTGTGGGAATGTGATGTAGACTGGAAAAGTCTATGGAATAAAAGGGTGCTTTGATTAATGTTGCCATAAACCAGACTAGATTCTGTTCTCAGAAGAAAACAAGTTGGTTGGGCAACTGTTACTTTAGAATAGAATAAAATAGAATGGAAAGGAATGGAACGGGATGGAACGGAACGGAACAGAACAGAACAGAACAGAACAGAACAGAACAGAATAATAGAGTTGGAAGGGACCTTTGAGGTCTTCTAGTCCAACCCCCTGCTTAGGCAGGAAACCCTACACCACTTCAGACGAATGGTTATCCAACATCTTCTTAAAAACTTCCAGTGTTGGAGTATTCACAACTTCTGGAGGCAAGTTATTCACTGATTAATTGTTGTAACTGTCAGGAAATTTCTCCTTAGTTCTAAGTTGCTTCTCTCTTTGATTAGTTTCCACCCATTGCTTCTTGTCCTGCCCTCAGGTGCTTGGAGAATAGCTTGACTCCCTCTTCTTTGTGGCAACCCCTGAGATATTGGAAGACTGCTATCATATCTCCCCTAGTCCTTCTTTTCATTAAATTAGACATACCCAGTTCCTGCAACCGTTCTTCATGTTTTAGCCTCCAGTCCCCTAATCATCTTTGTTGCTCTTCTCTGCACTCTTTCTAGATTCTCAACATCTTTTTTACATCATGGCGACCAAAACTGAATGCAGTTTTGCATTCTATTTCTACTTCTACTTCTATTCTTCACTGATGAATTTCTGCCAGACTTAATCAATCAAGGAAAAAGTGACATGGAACAAAAGAATAGAATCATATCCCAATAATAGAAATAGTAGAAATGCTTCTGTCTAGAATGCATATTTAGTCTCCAAATAAACTTTGGTTTTACCTTATAGAAATTTCTTTTCTGTGCAGAATGTGATCTGAGCAGTTACACACATACAATACTATAGTGGAATTGGTGTTTTGGACAGAAGCACTGGGAAACTAGAAAGCAGAACATTGAGGAAAACTCAAGGATATCTGTTAAGCATGACCAAGTACAGTGGTAAAAATTTTATAAAGGTGAAACAAAGCGAGGGGAAAAAGCTCTGTTTTACTGTTAACCCAATTATTATGAACTATGTACTGTACAATCTCTGAGCACAGGAAGTTAACTGAATGGAAATAAAATTTATAGTTCAATCATTTATGCCATCCCCAAAATAGATTAACTATTTATCCAACCAGATTTGGGAGCTGATATAGTTAAGAATAGTAACTACGTACAAGGGATCATCAAGCAGTTCTTCAGATGGAATTGTTTTGAAGGTTAGACATCATGTAGATCAGAGAAATAATGCCACCAATGATGAGATCACCTGAATGGTAAGACTTGTATTTAATACTAGTCTTAATACTAGGGTTGTTGATAGTGGATTTAGCACCATGGCATATGTCCTGAGAAAGCAGTTTTATCACCCACAGCCTGAAAAGTAACATAGCAAATCACAGATGTTTGTTGCCCAAATGAGCATTGATATGGCTTCTGAGTATATGACAATCTAACATTTCTTCTCAGGGATCATTGAAATGCAGAGATGTATAGGGAAAGCAATCAGAATCAGCCTTGCTCCATATTTGATTGATATGGCTTTTGAATATAGGACAATCTAACATTTTGCCTCTTTCTTTCAGATGACTTGAATGCAGAAATGTATAGCAGAAACAATCAGAATCACAGAGCCTTGCTCTTTAAACCTCATATTTGAATGTGTTAGGAACAAGAAATATTAATAACATCAGTCTGTTTTGCTCTGCTCTTTGGAACTCCCTAGAGACCAGAGGAGTAGAATTAAACAATGTCAATTATGGGGCACAATATCTCTTGTTCTTTTGGTATTGCAGAAGAAGATAATTGATCTCATCTAGGAGAAAACAATTTGCCATTTCTATGTAGCAACAAGAGAAGAAATGGATTGCAGTCAAAGGGATAATATCTAAGGAATGTAAGTAAACAACATAGTGAAAAAGAACAAGTTTGCCAGCTTTGTAATGGTATGATAAGATGGTATGACACAGAAGTCAGGCACTTTGACTAGACTTCCATAATGAGAAAAGAACATTATTAAATTAAGAAGTCATTATTTGTCAGCAAACATTAATGCCTTTAGTTCACCTATAGTTGTGATGGCGAACCTATGGCACGCATGCCACAGGTGGTACACAGCACCCTCTCTGTGGGCATGCGAGCCATTGTCCCAGTTCAGCTCTGCACTGGGGGTGGGGTGGGGGGCACACATATGTGTGGGGTGGGGCACATGTGGGGGGGAGCACGCACATTGCATTGGGGGGGTTTGCTTTGGGCACTCAGTCCGGAAAAGGTTAGCCATCACTGACCTAGAGTGTCAGGGTTCCAAGTAACATCCCAGAGCAAACAAAACTCTAAGGCAGGCAATTTCCTCAAAGAGTAAGTTAATTGGATATGTCATATTGGCACAGGCTGGTAAAAACCGACTCTGAATATTCTCGCAGTTTTCATCTAATTAAAACTAAAAGTTTTCGACTTTCTCAAAACAATCAGTCACATAGTCCAATCAGGATGCTGTCCAGTTGCTAGATGACTCCAGCCCCCTCCTTCCAAACACCTGCAGGAATGTCCTTGGTTCCCAAGAGAAAGGGTTTTTTTTGGTTACAACACCCCAACTATCTCTATTCCCCCCTCCCTGTCCCTCTTCACTAGTGTGTCAGCACCGAAGTCTCAAAATGGCTTCAGTCAGGCCAGCTTCAGAGTTGACATAGAGTTCATTACTCTTCTCTGGCCAATAGTGCTTGGAATATAATGAAATGGGTTAATTTTACAAAATGTATGCCAGTATTGTTATGTTGACTTGTGGGTCCTTACAAGGACAAGGACATGGATTTTTCTTAACACTTTCAAAAGTGGTTTGCCACTTTCTTCTTCTTAGGATCAAGAGAGAATTATGGATGGAATGCCACTGAGTAATCGGAAGAAAAATTAGGAGGGCTTGATTGGTTAGAAGCTGGAAGTTTTTAACTTTGGAATGAGAACAGGAATTGTAGGTAGAAATGTTGGAAATGCAAGCCAGGTTAAAGTTTGTTGACATACAACAAAAGACAGCAATAGGATGTAGGAAAAAATATTTGTGGGATGGGATTGAGAAAAAGATGGTTTTAAACAAATTGCCGAAAAGATACAAGCCGAAGGGTACAGAATTGAAACAGACTTTTTCTTGTCCTTATCTCTTCTAGTAGGGGACCAAAGATGTGTGGGGTTTTTTTGTTCTTTTTGTTTTTAATCTGGGTTGACAGGAACCTATTATCATATTGTCTAGTGCAGGGCCTCAACCCCTGGTCCGTGAACTTGCATCAGGCCATGGCGTGCCAGAAACCAAGCCATGTCAACAAGCAAAGCCCCATCTATAGGATGCAGGCAGCACATGAAACCACACCCCCTCTGGTCCACAGGAAAAACTCTTTTGTCAGGGTAATGATGATTTAATAGCTGACCAGCTGCTGTAATGCTGTAATACTGTAATGATGATGCAATAGTAGGACTGAGTCAGCAGAGTTATTTGACTGTTACCACTTTAAGAGTCTGTATTGTAAGAGAGGCCCAGTTGGGGCATCTCTCTCTCTCTCTCTCCATGTGTTCTTCCCTGCTATAGCTGCTGATTGATTGTTTGACCTTTGCCTAGTACATGTATGTATCTTCTTTTGTAGAGATAAACCACAATTTATCATTACAAACCTCTGTTTGATGTTATAGCTCCTGGGTTGTCTCATATAATCACTGTGCGCACTCTGACATCTCTACATGGAACTGGTCCCTGGTGCCCAAAAGGTTGGAGGCCACCAGTCTACTGAATGCCTTTGGGAAATATATATCCCTATTGTTATTTATTTGAAAATAAAAAGAACAGATCCACCAACAAGAATACGCTACTTCACTTTTATTTTTATTGGATTTATACAGTTCTTATAAAACTTAATAGATGGGTTTCAATTGTTTTCCTGTATTGAATTTTTGATATCAGATAGAAATAGTTTAAGAAAAGTATATAACTAGTCCTGCATTTTTAAAAGATTGCTATTAAAAATAGCAAGATTATTATTAAAAGAAAATATAACTGATCCTTAAACAAAGAATGGGGTTGCCTTTCTCATGCAGTGCATAGATTGCTCTTGATTATTTTGGATTATTTTGAACTATCTTGCCAAACTGAAAGCCGTTCAGCAGAGTAAAACTTGAGCTAGAGAAAGAATCTTGATAGAAACACTTAAATAAATATGTAAATAAATAAATCTGGAATTCAATTTTGTTTCTTTATCAACTGTTTCTTTCTGTTCAGGTCAGGTCTCAGCGCAATAATGTAGCATTTGGGGAAAAAGATGCAGCTCAGTAATCCTGCTGCAGAAGCCAAAATGGAGAAGATCTCCACAGCCACCATGTATTTTCCTTTGGTGCTCAGATAGGTGGGAATAAACAACACCCAGACACTACAAAAGACAAACATGCTGAAGGTGATAAATTTGGCTTCATTAAAGCTATCAGGTAATTTCCTGGCTAGGAAGGCCACTGTGAAGCTGACAGCAGCCAAGAAGCCCATAAAGCCAAGTACAATGTAAAACATGATGGGTGAACTTTCATTACATTCCAGGACAATTTCTCCAACAATGGAATGCATGTCTGATTCTGGAAATGGGGGAGAAATTGCTAGCCACACACTACAGATGGTGGCTTGCACCAGGGAGCAAGACAGGACAATAGTGTTGGTCAGCTTTTTCCCCACCCATTTCCTGATTTTGGAACCTGGCTTGGTGGACATGAAAGCAAGGACCACTATGATTGTTTTACCCAATATACAAGAAAGAGCTACAGAGAAGATGATGCTAAAGGTAGTTTGTTGCATGAGACATTTTATCTGGTCAGGTTGCCCAATGAAAAGCAAAGTGCAAAGGAAGGAAAGCAGGAGAGCAAGGAGAAGAGTATAACTGAGACTCCTGTTGTTAGCTTTGACTATGGGAGTATCCTGGTATTTAATGAAGATCCCCAGCAGCACAACTGAGATGAAAGAAAAGAGGAAAGCAACACTGGTCAAGATGATTCCCAAGGGTTCTTTGTAAGACAAGAAGTTTGTGGCTTTTTTAATGCAAAGCACCTGGTCCTTGTTAGGATAGTCTTCTTCAGGACAGGATGAACAGTCATCTAAATCTGGAAGAGGAAAGAAAGTTGTTAAGCAGATGGGTTAGTTCAGCCTTTCCCAACTTTCAGAAATGACATATTTCCACGACTGGGATTTCAAGATTGGATATTTGGAAATTTAAAATCTAACTTATATTAAAGGTGTAGGTCAGGAAAGCTCTAAAACTAAACTGCTTGAGAATAGACTCTTAAAATTACTATTACTATTACTTTACTTATTCACTTGTTTATTTACTAGAAAAATTATATGGCTGTCCAATTCACAATGTTGCTGGGTAAGTTATAAAAATAGGACTCTACATCTGGACAACCCACTTAATATACTCTGCATCTCTCTTGAATTTCTAGGCCTGCTGACAAAATGAAATCTTCATGGCCTTTGAAAAGAAAACCACAGTGCTAGCCCATTGTATCTTTACAGGGATGAGGTTCCACAGGGAGGGAGCCACCACCAGAAAACTCTTCTTGGAGTCCACTAGAAAATGGCATCTGGAATGGCAAGGTTTTTGTTTTTGTTTGCTCTAACAGTGAACCAAGAAATTAAAAGATGCTTGCTCCTGGGGAAGAAAGCTATGGCAAATCTAAACAGCATACTAAAAAGCAGAGACATCACCCTGCCAACAAAAGGGTATAGTCAAGGCTATGGTTTTCCCAGTTGCAATGTATGGCTGTGAAAGTTGGACCATAAGGAAGGCTGAGCACCAAAGAATTGAGGCCTTTGAACTGAGGTGCTGGAGAAGACTCCTGCAAGTCCCTTGGATTGCAAGGGCATCAAACCAGTCAGTCCTAGAGGAGATCAACCCTGACTGCTCTTTAGAAGGCTGGAACCTGACGATGAAACTGAAATACTTTGGCCACTTAATGAGAAGGAAGGACTCACTGGAAAAGAGCCTAATGCTGGGAACGATTGAGAGCAAAAGAAGAGAATGAGGTAGCTGGATGGAGTCACTGAATCAGTAGGCATGAGCTTAAAAGGACTACAGAAGATGGTAGAGGACAGGAAGGCCTGGAGGAACGTTGTCCATAGGGTTGCGATGGGTCAGACATGACTTTGCAACTAACAACAGCAGCAACAATAATCAGTAAATATCTGTTTTTTGCTGCCAAGCTGATTTTTGAGAAGCCAAAGCTCTTCATTTAGAAAAGATCTTCTCAGAACTACCCCATAAGAAAACTTTTAGACAGCTTGCTGACTCATTGGGATGAGAGATCCTTACATTTTAAAGTCTCAGATGTGAGTACAAGGTGGTGGTGGGGAGATTTTTTCCAACCACTTTTTCCTAAAAACACTGATCTGTTTTTAATTTTTTTTCACTTTTAAAATGTTCACATTTGTTTTCTTTCTTCTTCTTACTCTTTTTCATGCAGTAAGTGGATAAGTTATCTGCCTGCCAGGTATTGCCAAGCTGATACTCTCCTTGGAGTACAGAAGGATATTTATTGTTGTAATCAAAGATATTCAATGGGACATGTAGATCTATACATTGGAGAAACAAAACAACCTACTTCACAAATGCAAGGCCTAACATAGAAGAATAAACCCACCTGGACAAGATGCATTTGAAAGACAAAGGTCACTATTTTGAAGACAAATTCTGAACAGAGAGGACTACTCTTTTGAAAGAAGGGTTAAATACAGGGGTGGGATTCAAAAATTTTAGAAACTGGTTCTCTGCCTGGTTGCTGGGTTGGTATGGCCATGGTGGGTGTGGCCTACCTGGCCTCCTGCACCATGGTGGGGCCATTTTCACCCTCCCCAAGCTCTGGAGGCTTTCCTCGAGCCTCCAGAAGGGCGAAAATGGCCTCCCCCAGTCTCTGGAGGCCTTCCAGAGGCTAGAAATGGACTTGTTTCCAAACTTCCGGAACTTCCAGGAGGCCCATTTTTCACCCTCTCCCGGCTCTGGAGGCTTTTGGCAAGCCTCTGGGAAGGTGAAAATGGCCTCCCCCGGGCTCCAGTGGCCCTCCGGAGGCCAGAAATGAGTCTGTTTCCAGACTTCCGGAACTTCCAGCAGGCACATTTTTTGCCCTCCCAGCGGCTCTGTGCAGGCGCTGCACTTACCTGGCATCCAAAACAGGCCACATGGAGACTCCCGGGAGGGGAGGGGAGGGGAGGGAAGAGGATGGGTGGGTGGGGCCAACCAGTCCTTGCAACTGGTTTGGCGAACCAGATATAAAATTAGTATCCGGTTTACCCAAACCTGTCCGAACTGGCTGAATCCCATCCCTGGTTAAAGAGACCATCTACATTAATATTGAAGAACCAGCTCTCAACAGAAAGGGAGGGATATGACACTACCTATCTCCTGTTTACAACACAGCCCTTTCAGCAGTTCCAAAAAACTTCCACACCCATTTGCATTATTCAATTACCCTGAGGACATAGTTAAACCTCCAAGTGGCCTCAGCGACTCTCAGAAAGTGTGCTAACCATCAGACGACTGCAAGGAATATGAATCCTTCTATTCACCACCAGTCAGTCAGAACTGAAGAAGCTTCTTGGATGAGAAGTGAAACACATTCAAGGAAAAACAAAGAAAGTCCAGTTGCCTTTTGAAAAAAAAAAGAAGAAGCAACTTTGGGACATATTACAATTGGTTACATTGTAACCATCCCACTTCTCCTGGACTGTATGGCTCAATAAATCCACATCAGCAAGTCTGGGTAGTGTTTGGACCTATTGACCTTCAGAGTTAATGAATATCAATGCTGCTTTGTATGGTATCTGTTACCTGTCTGGTTGGCAATTTTCCCTTCTGGGCAACGAAAACATTTGTAACAGCAAAATGGCTTCCCTTCTATTGTCCCCTTGATGTAACCCAAGGAGCAATGATGATTGCACAAAGAAAGAGGTTGGGCCTGTTAATAAATGAAAGTGCAATACATTGAGAATTTAGATGTTAACAATCTAAGAAATTATTATCTTTGAGGAATTTTTCTTTTTTTGGTCAGTTATGAAACATTCTATACTAGCATGAAAGGCTGTGATGGGATTAACATTATGTTGCTACCGGTTCGTCGTGCATGCGCTCGCTTCCTCTGCATGCATATGCCTGTCTTCCACACATGCACCTGGCCTTCTGCACATGCACTTTGTTCATGCATGCATCTTCTGTGCATGTGCCAGGGCTCAAAAACATGCCTAAATAGGATGGCATAGAGCCAGGGCAGGTGGGCGGGCCCATCTGCGATTTCTGCTACCAGTTCAGGTGAACCGGTCTTAACTGGCTGAATACTACCTCTGATGAAAGGTTTCGGTTATTTCTCAAAATATTCTTCAAGCATAAGAAGTCATGCAAATTAAAGAGTCCTTTATTCGTCAGACAGATCTCAAAGATTAGGGTTGTTTAACTCAGAGGTAGGAGTAAATTGAGTTCCTTTATCTTAGAACTAAGGAGAAATTTCCTGACAGTTAGAACAATTATTCAGTGGAACAACTTGACTCCAGAAGCTGTGAATGCTCCAACACTGGAAGTTTTTAAGAAGAGATTGGATAACCATTTGTCTGAAGCGGTGTAGCTTATCCTGCCAGGGTTGAAATCCAGCA